CGCCTTGAATGTCGAGCCTTAACACACTACCTACATCACTCCACTCTACGATTCCGAAGTTCCTCTAAGCGTCGTCGGAGGCCCTTAGTGCCCTCGATGCTTCTACTATCCGGGATTGCGTTAGACACTTTACAACCGCTACTGCGTCTCGGCTAACGAAATCCCGGATCGCGCACTCTTAGTATACATAGAAGAACATAGAAGCTCTATAGCGAAACACTCTTAGCGTGCCTTAGCGGCAAAAGTACGGAGGCCTATAGATACTAAGAAGCCAAACTAGGGTAGGCTGTTCTTACCGCCTCTACTACCTAATTCTTTATGTTTAACCTTAAGGACTCGCACTACACTCGCTATTAACTCGCATAATAGCTCTACGTATTAATTTAGAGCTATAGAGGGCCTAGTTAATCTCTTAAGTCGAGAGGGGCACTACGAAGGAAGCAATCCTATAATACCTTCTATAGGAGACCGGTTATTAGATATCTATGCGTACGCTTATACGAAGGCTCTAGGAGTGGAATATCTAGTATAACCGTTATACTAACTAGCGAGTTAACGATATCGAGCAACTTAAGATTCGAGTCGCCTATACCTTCTACGTTCTACGGTTAACTAATAAAGAGGCGGTTAAAATACTATAGGCGGATAGATTTAATATTGGCTAGCGGAGATATTAACGGATACGTTAAGAGCTTAGATTAAAGAAGTCAATAGACCGGTATTTATAAGCACGAGCGGAAGAGGAGATAGCGGAGGTTTTACGAGAAGAGCTTAATAAGTCTCTAGTAGAGTCTTTTAGCCGAAGGCACCTATATACCTATATTAGGTCTAAATACAACATCGTTAGCAGAGACAGGCTGTATCGTATAGCTTGCTTACTAAATCCTAAAGGCCTACGAGTCCGCCGCGAGCGAGTACGAGAGCACTATAGTATAGTTCGGACACTAGGCCCTAGATACGCAATATTAATAGATACTTACTATAAATTCGAGCATTAGGGCATATAGATATATGCAGCTATTAATGTCTACTCGCGTTATATTATCTGGATCTATATAGGCATTACTAGCCGGATAGCTGTCTCTGTACTCGCTTAGTACGTTGCAACTATTAAGAACAGTAGTGTAATGCTATAGATTATCCGATTAGACCGTAGAGCGGAGACGATTCTAGCCGCGGACGCTTACTATAGGACTCGCCTTGCGACTCGTACTAAGGCGGAATCGGAGGAACCGCTACCTGCCTTCTAGGATTGCTTCAAATACGGCACTAGTAAGATAAACTAGCGGATTGAGTTATAGTAGCGGTAGCAAGTACCCGCTATAGATAGCTAGAGGGGCTATTTCTACGAGTTGCTACGCGAGTTACTATACGATGCTAATTTGTTATCCGACCGGATTGCCTTCCTTGCGATCTATATACTAATTATACGTAATAAAGTCCTCGAGTTTATTTACCTCTAGAATAGCTATCGTATTCGGAAGCAGGCTAGGCGACTATATGTTGTATTAGGTATTCCGTATATTCTATACTATTATCTAGAGCTTAGCGGGCATTCTTATTAAGGTATTCCTATACTAGACGGCGTACTTAATAATATCGAGCAAGACCTTTAAGAATTCGGTATATATTAGTTCTAGACTCGCTATAGACTCGCCGCAGACTCGCTAATATACTTGCTCCTAGATCTTAAAGCCTACCTACCCGAGGTTACGCTTACTTAGTATTAGGTAGCATTGTAGGCTTATAACTTCTCGTATCTAGTTAGTAGTAGCGAGAATAATAGCGATAGAGAGCGCGTTTACCGCTCTGTATACTTACTTCTTCGACGGCTAGTTACGGAGTATATAGCTATAGGGGAAGAGCCGGAACTAGTAGAATTAGACAAGCTATTAGCAGCTCGTAATTGGACGTTAGCAACGGCTCGGCACTAGGAGGCGCTTGCAAACCCCGATGCTAGATTAATTGAGTTTGAAAATAATGTAGTTTAATCGGCGATCTACGAGCCGGCCGCGAGTATATAGCGAGTCGATTATTCTAGTTCTATTTCGTCCTTTCCCTAGCTAGTTCTACCTCTATTCTATACCTATTTCTACCTCTATTCTATACCTATTTCTATACTAACAATATAACAATGCCTACTAAATAGGGTACCTTTTGCTCTGTCTTAGGCGTTAAGTATGCAGTAATGTTTCAATTATACGCATACTGTTTACAATGTAGCCTTAAGAACCCTAATCTACTAACTAAGCGATTTGTACGCGAGCTATTAGTAGCAGCTGCTACGGCAGCTGCGAGTATAGTTACGAGTATAGTACGAGGCTATAATGCGTTCCCCTCTCTACCTAAGTCGGCTAACGCTGTACGTAACGCTGCTATTTAGCAGTATAAGCCAACTTAACGACTAAACGCTAGGTCTCGGAGCCTCTCGTAGCGTCTAGCAATACCTGCTTCTTCTTCTTCGGAAAAAACAGAGTTAATAAAGCTATTCCGGTGCCGCTATATTATCTATCTTTAGCGAGTCGAAGTTAAGATTATAGCCTCTATAGAGACGTAGATATACTATAAATCGGAGGTGTATTCTACTACGACTAATTCCGTATCTAAAGAAGCATATAAAGCCGCTAATATAAGCTTTCTCGACTGGATTTTAAATAAACGGATTAACGAGCTACCTAACAATAGCGACATTAAGGGCATAGAAGACTATACTAACTACTTCTTCTACGCTAGCTTCGACAAAGATAATTAACTAGATAAGGTATCCTCTAAAGCGGTTAGCTTGCTATCGATTAAATAGATTCTTTTTACGTTTAAACTAACGACAAAGACAACAATCTACGAGATACCTATCTATATCTAGTTGCGGAAGCAGCAGCAACAAAGGTAGCAAAAGCGGAAGCACCGGCTAAGTATTCCTCCTACTGCGAGTACTACTACGAGTACTATAGCGAGTAAGCATAGAGTAGTTAACAGTATAGAGATTAAAAAAGAAAAGCTATAGACCGAGAAGATAATCGACATAGAGAAGCCGCCTAAGATTATTAACCTAAGCGGCGAGGACACCGCGAGGATACCGCGAGGCACGTCTGTTCTAAAAGGGTCGAGCGAATCTAAAGACTAGCAACCTAGCTAGCAACCTAGCTAGCAACCTAGCTAGCAACCTAAGCAGCAACCTAAGTAGTAACCTAAGCAGCAACCTAGCTAGCAAGCTAAGCAGCAACAATCTACTAACAGCGGCGGATATACTAAGAGTTAGAGGCTAAAGCGCAGTCGGAAGAAGAAATAAGATATAGAAGTAGAAGTATAGACTCGTAGTATACTCGCTATAGACTCGCTATAGAATCGCTATCTTATTTGCTATACTCGTAGCGGACTCGCTACTATTTTAAAGGTCTTCTACTAGTAGCTCGCGATCGCTATTTAGCTATAACTCCTTCTATATCGTATACACATCCTTTAACTTAATAATTGCCTTAGTCTTAAGCTATTTGAACCACTTTTAACAATAACCCTCTAGATCGGCAAACCTAGTCTTAAGAGCATTAATCTTTGTCTCTAATATAATATTCTTCGTCTCTAATTTAATACTCTTTACCTCTAATAGAGTATTCTTCGACTCTAGGGCCTCGACTCGCGCCTACATCGCGGCTAGCTCGCTATTCTTATCGTCTTCTTTAACCTTAATCTCGCTAGTAGTATAGCTACTCTTGCCCTAACACTTATAATAAGTATAGACTCTCTCTCCTTTAGCATCTAGTACGCGATACTTATAGCCGTTATCGTAGCGAGTGTAGAAGTAATATAGCGATAGTGCTAGCTTTCCTTGCTTAGTCTCTATAATTATACTAGCAGCTAAGTATTTACGCATTCTGTTTAAAGCTACCTTCTTCTTTTACGGATTTGTAGTATCGTCGATAAGGTCCTACTATGTCTGCTCGCTATAGTACTAGAAATCTTTCGTGTTTGTAGTCGTAGGACGTCGAAGTCTAGAGCGAGTTAGTAGCGAGTCTATAGCGATACGCCTTATAGCTTACGATAAATACGGTACTCCTACTAGTAAGGTAGGCACTAAGTCGGGCGCTAAAGCACCTAAAGTAGCTATAATAATAAGGTCGCGCGAAATACTAGTTATAGCTCGAAACGGTAGTAGTAGTAGTAACGCTGCTATCGCTATCGCTATCGCTAAAGGTAGAAGACGAAGAAGAATATAGCGAGTCGAGGCGCGAAGGAATAGCGAGTACGGTAAGGTTTGCGCGGTGAAGTTGCGCGTAAGGAAGGCGCGACAATAATAGGAAGCAACAATAGCCTTAAGTGAAGCCAACCGTGGTTTGGCTTCTTGGTATGTATGGAGCTCCGTCCAAAAGAGAGAGTTCTTCTTCCCGAACAAGGTTTAGATTGCCGTCTACTGCCGCCAACCTTGTTCTCACTACACCGCACCATTGCCTTGATGAGGGGCACCAATTGTCGGTGCTATACGGAGATCGTTCTCACTTGTTACTGGCAAAGCTACAGCTACTAGAGCTTCGATCTCCTGAGACACGGGAGATCCTGGCTCCTTTGTACCAGGCTCCACAATGTGTTCTCGCGAACCACGGCCTCAAATGCACGACTGCGAGATAGCTTGGCATTGGACGATCGTGTGACTACTGTCCGGGCAGATGGCGTCTTTGCGACGTGTTTGATGACAAGCATATGTCCGCTGCGGTCTGGGTGTCGATGACAAGGTTTAGTGGGATCGCCAATATGCTGCTTCAACCAGGAGGACAGGGGCTATGCGATCGAGCTCTTTCGGTGACCGTCGGGAACAATGCTGCTTTGGAGAGGTATGAGGACTTTGGTGGAAGGTTTTTGAAAATCCAGTGGCAAAGGAAGAGAGTGGTGGGAATTGGGAGAAGAGAGCCGAATTTTGCGTCTTAAGGTGCGCCGGAGATGATGATGGAAGACCAAAATTTCTCGGTTCTTGTTGGTTGTGATTTTCTCATCTCATCGAACTTTGCTCATCGCAGCACTTCACCACTCCGCTGACCTTCTTGCACATTCTCTTCAATCCAATCCCGTATCCTCGAGAAATCTCTACAGGTATGCGTCGCATAAGGTTTCAAGACCAATCGATACGCTCCCAACCATTCGGCGTACATGGGCGTCAGATCCGCGTTGCACTGGACGTATTGACGCAGATAGTCGATACAGTGATCTATGCTGCGTCAGAAATGTATCAGAGCCTCGGAGGTGGGAGAACCTACGCTTATGCAATTCGGTCTCGCTCTTCTTCTCCCGGAACTCGTAATTGTCTGGAAATATGTACATCCGGATCGCATTTACGCAGTGTAAAGCGTGGTATACTTCTAGACCCATGACATAGTTGCCGTCTTCGAAAGCGTGAGTGTGGCCGTGCGCTGGTACTGCCACTGGACCGGAGAGATTGAAGGTTGTCACTGCGAGGCAGCGCTGATTTAGCTAGGGCTCAACAAAAGTTGGAAATTTCCCACTTTACCTACCTGACAATAATTCATCCCAGTTGTCGTCGATCTCAGGACCAGGCGTGCCTACGAATCGAGGGGCATCTTCTTCCCATTGGATTTCTAAGGCAGAGAGGTCTGGCTTGGGATAGATGGGGTTGACAAAGGTTCGTTGGGTGTATGGAATCAGGTCGCCGAGATTTCCTTGTTGATGAATCAGTAAATAAGAAAGAAATCAGCCTTACGGTCGACGAAATGGACGTTACCGAAATCTGTCGAGAAGTTCCTTGGACGGAAGTCATCTGGTCTCGTCAGCAGCACGACAGCTGCGATCAAGATGACGATGAGGATTGACTGGAGGATGATAGTGACTCTTGATATCATCGACCAGCTCCTCGTCTTGGGCTGTAAGGACTCATAACCGTCACGAGCTTTCTCCAAGAGTGTTTCTTGGCTGTCATTTCGTACAGCTTCTGGCAGCGATGAGTACGAGTGTGAAGTGAACATCTTCAACAAGAACTGGGTAAAGGGACTAACAGATTTTCGTCCTTCACGAAAACTGACAGCATCTCCTATTCTCCGTCGACGATCGGACCATGTGACGAGACGTTCGAGGTTTCCAGACTTGCATGCTCCACAGGAGCTATTCACCCGCGAATAATCCTCGGATCGTGCTTGGCGCTAATCACGCTAGGCATGTATTTGCCGCATGCCGTTGCTCGCGAGTCGCGTCATCACATGGCTGAATGTGTTGAGTTGCTACCTTGTAACTCCCCGGATTCTAGAAAGCTAGAGATCTGCTTAGCTGCAGTCTATACCAACTAGTAGGAGGGTAAAACTCGGGCTCCGAAGACAGCTTTCTATAGGCAAAGCTCTCACCTCTTTCTAATAACGACACTGCTACGACGACAACGATGGCGCTAGCGAACAAACGCGATATTTGTATACCGAGTAAGAGTATCTCGCTCGCTACGATCGAAGCGGGACGGGGGCGACCTATCAAGGCGGTATAAGGTAGAATCTTCGCTTCTACACTATAGACACGCGGAGCCGCCAACAACCACAAACCTTACCTTATTATTATTACCCTTGCTAGTGAATCGTCATCTACGTTGCTGAATGTAGAGGCGCGAGTTGCCGTCCCGAGACAGGGATATAGAGTGAACTAAATGTACATTGCGACTTCACGCCGATCACTTCTTCCTTTTCGAACGTCACGCGAACAATATATGAGCGTTTGCTAGCTTCGGCGAAACTCATCGAGTCTTTGTTCGAGGAGGAGGAAAACGACATACTGACAAGAGAACCCCTTGCTAGCGTGACCGACGTGATTGAAGAAATTGGTTGGAATCGGTGCGTGTTCACATAGTAAAAAATTGCTGCAAGTCGCGCTATGTATTTGAAGACAAAGAAACCAACATTCGATATCGATCTTGGCCGGGTCTACGCTTGTGTCCTTCGAAGGCAAGATGTGAAAAATAAATGCGGCGATTCTTGATGGTACAAACAAGCCGAAGAAGTCCCGGGCAACTAGTATTTCAATCTACCCTAGAGTAGAACCACTAGACCGCCTGCAATTGTTGAATAGCGCGACGTATTGCATACAACGACGGTTATGCTAGCTAGTGCCTGCGATAGCGCATTACAACCAACACGTCTGGCTCACTACCGACAACGAGCCTGCGGGTGAGATCAATGGATTTACCACCTAGTTCTCAGCGCCCGTTTCCTCGTCAACGCCGTAGACCTTGAAATGATTGTTAGAAAAGGACCTATGTAGGACGCTTCGGTGTTTGACTGACCGGGTAGAACTGGCGCTTCTCCACCTTGTCGTTCTCATCAACGCCATAGACCTTGAAATGACTGTTAGCAGAAAAAGCCCATACAGGACATTTCGGTGTTTGACTTACCGGGTAGAACTGGCGCTTCTCTACCTTGTCGTTCTCATCGACGCCATATCTGTTGCCCCAAACTAGTCAGCCATAGAGATAGCTACTGCTGACAGAGCTCATACTCACACTGGGTAGAACTGGCGCTTCTCCACCTTATCGTTCTCATCGACACCATATCTGCGTCGGCGTAAGCTTTCGTTTCTTCTCCGGAAAATACCTACCACCTACACCGGATAGAACTGGCGCTTCTCCACCTTGTCGTTCTCATCGACACCATATCTGCGTCGGCGTGAGCTTCCGTTTCTTCTCCGGGCGGTACCCACCACTCACACTGGATAGAACTGGCGCTTGACCTTGTCGTTCTCGTCTACGCCGTAGCTGTTGTGACCCGCAAGATTAGCGCTTTCGACCGGAATTCGGCTCGCGCTGACAACTTACACTGGATAGAACTGGCGCTTGACCTTGTCGTTCTCGTCCACGCCGTAGCTGTTGTGACCCGCAAGATTAGCGCTTTCGACCGGAATTCGGCTCGCGCTGTCAACTTACACTGGGTAGAACTGGCGCTTGACCTTGTCATTCTCGTCCACGCCGTAACTATTGTGACCAGCAAGATTAGCGCGCTTACAACTTGAATTGGGCTCGAGCTGTCCACTCACACCGGGTAGAACTGGCGCTTGACCTTGTCGTTCTCATCGACTCCGTAGCTACGAGAGTAGTGAGGTTAGTGCTTGAATCATCGGGTCAATAGAGAGTGACTTCGTACACTGGGTAGAATTGGCGCTTGTCCACTTTGTCGCTCTCTCCCTCGTCAACTCCGTACCTAATCATCAATCAGGTCAGCGAGAAGTCGAAGCGCTAGGCTCTCGTGTCATGTTGACGAACACTGGATAGAACTGGCGCTTGCCAATGACCTTTTTGTATTCAGCGTTGTGAGCGTCGCGCTCCTCAACTGGTGCAGCACCAACGACGCTCGCGCCAACGAGGCCGAGAATGGCGAGGGTAGTTTGGAACTTCATGTTGTTGGATATGAGGCGTGATGGTCTTGCCGGTTTCGATGTCGAGGAAGCTGATGAGACGATGGTTTCACAAGATGTAGTCGATCCTTCGTGGTATGATATACCGTGAGGTCGCCCGTGGCAACTTCGGTAGTACATATGCCGGCGCCAGTGCGGAGGAAATCGCCTAGGTGCATATGCGTCTTCACCCCCATCGTACTACAGCTGATCTTCTGCGTTAGCGAGACTGTCGCGAATCTGGGCCGCTGCAAGCTATCGACAATTCCATCAAGTCGGGCAGTATTACTGCCTGTCAGCTCTCACACCGCTTGCGCCAGAACTCCGGCCATGCAGTCAGCAAACTGTCGATACTCGATCTCGCCGGTATCATCGATGCGAAGGCATGGTAGATGCCCCGTCTCAATGAGGGATTATGGCAACCTCATATGCCCCGAAGGCATGGTAGAAGGCCCGTCTCAACGAGGCATTTTGGCCACTTGACATCCTCCAGAAGCAATGTCTCGGGTACGCCTCGTGATGGCGCCGGCGCCGATCTAGCATGTGAAGATCGAGTCACATGGTGACGGCAATTGAGTCGCAAGTCCTGTTGCCTTTGAGTGTTTCTTGCGAGACCTTCGCTGACGTCCAGATCTGTCACCTTTGCACGCCCTAACGAAGAAGATGTTGTTCAAATCACTCAGTGGTCGGCCAGTTGCGACGACTGTCCTTATTGGATCCTCACTACTCTTGTTGCCACTTTCGGTCTGGCTCCTCGTTCAACAGCTGGGCCAAAATGCATCAATTGCGTCGCTCTTTCGCACAAACCACGTTGGCGTCGCAGAAGAGGTGAACGGATTAGTGCCGCGCTGTATGTTTCCGACTCCAGATCGATCATAGTTGCTGCTGACCAAGATGTCCAGTCTCAACGCATCCGCGAGTATTCTGGAATGACTCAGCATACGGCCCAACCGAAGATGTAGAGAATATGACTGAGGACCAGAAACAAAAGGTTCTAGACAAGTGGGCGACGCTTCAGGCTCGTGCGTATTAGACGATACTATGCTGCATCAGTTTACTAACCCCGTCTTGAACAGGTGGCTTTGGCTTTGTCCCTGTCCACGAGCCTGAAAAGTATACTCTGCCACCGCCTTTGCAGTACTATGGTCTTGCTCCGCCGGACTACTACTATTCAATCAGCGCTTTTCATCAGATTCATTGTCTTGTAAGTCAACGCACCGCTCATTCACGCACAATGCTGATAGTCCCCGAAGGAAATGATCTTGCATGAGTACCTGAACCCAACTTTGATGAACCAGCACTCTCATCACCAAAAGCGCAAGGCGCACTCACACGAGACAAGCAATGCGCACATCATGCACTGTATGCGTCCCCTCGTCGTGGATTCATCTACTTGCTAACCGACGCAGGCTTCGATTACCTTCGACAGGCAATCATGTGCTGCGGAGACACTGCTCTTGAAGGTGCAGACGAATACTCAATTGCCGAAGGCAGAGATCTGGTCCTCATCGGGACCAGTGGCCTTGGTACCACACATCAGTGTAAGGACTGGGATGCGATCAAAGACTACGCCGAGTCGCGAGCAAATCCAAAATGGAAGAAACCAAAGGACGGAGGTGACTTGTAGCAGTCAATGCATCTTGTCTTCTTTCGTGCTATTTCCTTGTCTCTCATTGCGCATGTTGCGCGTCCAACGCTGCGTACGAAGCACAGTACTCGCGATCGTGCTGCTGTCTGCGAAGTGATGGGCATGGCTCTGGGCTGTTCAGTGGAGCTCACTGGAGCCGAGGTCGCGATTGACCAATGCTTCATGGTGCATACCCGTGATGTCTGAACCCCGCTCAGCGATATCGAGCAGTGTCAAGAAGAAGACCGATGACTGGGTGTAGTACTTCACCACTGGTGCCGTGATCATCTCTTGCCATGTCCATCGATGAATGACCGAGTCGCAGCGCCCAAATGCATTACATACTTCATCTTCGCGGGAGGCGTTTGGCGGAGGCGTTTGGCGGAGGCGCAGTGACGACGGGAGCCAGGGGAATTGAAAGCGTGCCGATGTCACATTCTGAGGCGCTGTCTGGAATGCCGCCCGAGTTTTGGAGGGAGTTGCCAGCAGAGGAGGACTCTCGGCCATTGTGCACCTGGTCTGCAACATGAATCTCTGGCTGAAGTGTCAAAGCTCTGGCTGTGGAGACTAGATCGGGCATGTCGTGAAGATATACACAGCAGCACTGAGAGTTCCAGTACCAACGACACATGGAGTTGATGGACCCAGTGAGCTCCTGGCTGCTACTCTTGTCGATGCGACAGGTGTCAGACCAGGCATACTCCAGCCCATCTCGAACAGCCTGTTTTCTGACACATTGTATTCTGGCCCATGCGCTGTTGTGCCGCACATCTATTCCATTTACCATATTCGTCGGCGTAGTATCGATAGGAGAGTATGGCGTACATGGTCGTCTCATCGGTTGCGGTGACCAGGTGCAGCTCATCGGTCTCGTGTCTCTCTCATCTTGCCTATCTCAGCGGCATGCCAAGGAGCGATGTCAAGAATTTAGACATTCTCGGTAGAGCCAAACGTGATATACTGGGTTGACCATTGCTCGTCAGCTTGAAAGTATGGAGCTGCAGCTGAAGTTCTTCCAAATGCCAAGTCACGGGCGCCGCCGACCTGAGACTCCTCGGGCTCTTCCTGTAGCACCTCTGCTATCTGCTCTTCCGCTTCTGTATACCTGTTTGGTGGCGAGATTGACTTCTTTAATCCAAGCTCTTGACGTATACGTTGATATCTCCGCTGGCTAATATCAAATCCATCTGCCTGTAGTACTTGTACCGCCTCTTTATCAGTTAAGCGTAGAGCGTGGAAGGTGTATGCGACTCGGATCTTTAGTGCCTCGACATCGTTGACTCGGTGATAGTGAGCATGATGGCCATAGTCAATATTCCACTCTTTAAGTCTTCGTTTGAGCGTATTTAGAGATATCTGATGACCGGTCTCCTGTGTAAGGTGCTGTACGATTGCTTCACGTGTAGTGCCGCTAATGACTTGAGAGGTTATCCACGCCCTCCATGGCGACAGATCAATACGCGGAGGCATTATGCAAGTCTCTGTAGCGCGAGTCGTCGTAGAAGGTCAAAACATAAAGAATTTGGTGGTGAGGCGGCGAAGAATTAGCCACTGACCCTTTGGTATGTATGGGCTTCAGTACGGAGGCCCATACATACCAAAGGGTCAATAGCTCCTCCGCACGTTACCTGAGCATGACAGCATTGATTTGCCCAGCGCGTCTTCCGCCGCGTGCAGCTCGGGAAAAGGCATCAACATGTGAAGCCACGATGAGCACGCCGAACAAGCGGCGCAAGAAGAATGATCATCAATCGCCAGCTCAGCCTGTGAAAAGCTTGGACTTCTTCTTCGGCAAGCAACGGGAGAGGGAGAGGGAGAGGGAGAGGGAGAGGGAGGTTGCCAAGCCGAATGGCACTACGAATCATGTGAATAACGAGAAGAAGCATGTGAAAGAGCCCGGAGAAGGATTGACTGATGAAGCACTGGCGCGGACACTTCAGGCTCAGTGGGATGAAGAAGAGCGACGAGGCCAACAAAATCGCGGCACTGCCAATAAGCGAGAGGACGGAACCACCACAGTCGAGCCAGTGACTCTGAGAGATGCCTCTCCGCCGCACGATATCACTTCGAATGCTCTTGCGGCTCTCGGCAAGAAGAACACTCTCTCGTTGCAGTCGGCCACAGCCGAAGAAGACACTGTCTCGCACGATATCCCATTCGACGAATCGCCGCTCACTTTCGACCCGCAGACGTATATACCGGACCTCAAGAAGCAATGGGCACCAGAGGCTGGCAATTCTACCTATGCGCTGCTCACGCATTGCTTTGTGTTGGTCAACAGCACGCAATCTCGCATCAAGATTGTCGACACTCTCGTCAATCTACTACGCACGCTGATTGAGGGAGATCCAGATTCGTTATTGCCTGCAGTCTGGCTTGCGACAAACTCGATCGCCCCGCCATATGTCGATATTGAGCTTGGGCTCGGTGGTTCAGCAATCTCGAAAGCTTTGAAGAAAGTATGCGGGCTAGACAATTCAAGCCTCAAGACACTATATAACAAGCACGGCGATGCGGGCGACGTCGCTTTCGAGGCCAAGAAGAAACAGTCCTTCACGCTACGGAAGCCGAAACCGCTGACCATCAAAGGCGTGTACGACAGCTTGCGCAAAATTGCAGATGCCAAGGGGAACGGCAGTCAAGAAGTCAAGCAGAGGATTGTCGAACGATTGGTGCAAGATGCAAGAGGTGCCGAAGAAAGCAGATACATCGTGCGGACACTGGTGCAGCATCTGCGCATTGGAGCAGTGAAGACGACGATGCTTATTGCATTGTCAAGAGCTTTCCTCCTATCGAAGCCGCCAAGTGCCGATTATGCGACCAAGGCTGCGGTAGACCTGCGGAAGCTCAGCAAGCAGGAGCTGGCAGAAGTCTGGTCGCCTGCAGAGGAGCTCGTCAAAGCTTGCTTTGCGAGAAGACCAAATTACAACGACCTGGTACCGACATTGCTCGAAGTAGGCATCGACCAGGAGCTGCTCGTACGATGCGGCTTGGCAATGCACATCCCTCTACGACCCATGTTGGGAGGCATAACTCGCGACCTGGGAGAGATGTTAACCAGACTACAAGGGCGAGACTTCAGCTGCGAGTTCAAGTACGATGGTCAACGGGCGCAAGTCCATTGCGACGCCAATGGGAAAGTCACCATCTTCTCGCGGCATCTGGAGGTGATGACGGAAAAATATCCCGACTTGGTTGCGCTGGTGCCGAAGATTCGTGGAGAGAGTGTGAGTAGTTTCATCCTCGAAGGCGAAGTTGTGGCAGTCGATCGGGAGACTGGCGATCTCAAGCCGTTCCAGATCTTAGCGAATCGTGCACGCAAGGACGTAGTGATCCAGAGTGTCACCGTAGACGTCTGTCTTTTCGCTTTCGATCTCATGTACCTGAACGGCGAAGAGCTTTTGGACCGACCATTCCGAGAACGAAGAAGTCTACTTCGAAGCCTATTTGTGGAGATCCCCAACCATTTTACCTGGGTCAAAAGCATGGATGCGACTTCCGAAGATGGCGAGGCCGTGAGCGATTTCTTCAAGCAGGCGATTGACATCAAATGTGAGGGCATCATGGTGAAGGTGCTTGACAACCTGCCGAACCCTGATCTTCAAACTGAGATGCATGTTGATGTTCCGGCGAAACCAGAATCTGCGCCGGTGAAGGGCAAGAAGGACAAGAAGTCTAAGAAGTCCATCAGCACCTCAAAAGATACGATTGGTGACGATGCGGCTGAAGAGAAGAAAGGAGGGCGGAGAAAGGCACTGCTCTCGACGTATGAACCCGACAAGAGGCTGGATTCTTGGCTCAAAGTGAAGAAGGACTACAATACTCAGACCGACACCATAGACTTAATACCAGTCGGAGCTTGGCACGGTCAAGGCCGAAAGAACGCCTGGTGGTCGCCAATCCTCCTCGCATGCAGAAATCCCGAGAACGGCACGCTCGAAGTAGTAACCAAATGCATCAGCGGCTTTACAGATGCTTTCTACAAAGCGAATCGAGCGAGATACGATCCCGACTTCGAAGACGAGGACGGTGTCCTAGTCGGAAAGAACACTCTCTCGGAGCGACCCAGCTATGTCGAATATGCCGGCACACCAGACGTCTGGTTCGAGCCGCAGGAGGTGTGGGAGATGATCTTTGCGGACATCACGCTTTCGCCGACGTATACTGCTGCTCTCGGACTTGTTAATGAGGAAAGAGGACTTTCAATGCGATTCCCACGGTTCTTGAAAGTTCGTGGTGATAAGTCGATTGATGAAGCTAGCACGAATGAGTTCTTGGCTGCGTTGTATCGTAAGCAGATTTCGAAGGCGCCGCCGAAGAAGGCAGAGGAGGTAGAGGCTGAAGAGGAGTTGTATGATGATGGCTGAAATTACTATGTACCGCTTGTCATACATCGAATGTAAGGCTACTCGCTCGGCCACCGCATCCCGTTCAGTTCAGTTCTGATCCAATCTGACTCAGTATTCTCGACCACTTTAATCGATGGTGTTCTACTAAGACCGCCACACCACGCGCTCCGCATCGACTCGAAGAGGAATATCAAGAGGACTGTCGCCGTTCGCAATTGCACTTGCGAAGGAGGAAAAGGTCTGCGCTCCGCCTGCTGGCTACTGTTTCGGTCATGAAGCAGATGGCGTGGGCCCGACGGATTTGAATGGCTTCTTAAGGATTGGAATCGCGATGGCAGGTGCTGTCTCCGCACAGACCCTCCCGCTTCCGGCTTGCCGCCCTCGCTTGCGAGGGTCTAAAGCCAAATCCACTAAAAGTGCAGATTTCTAGCTAACTGTATAGAAACTTTCAGCATTTGGCGAAATACATTAATCTGAATGGTGCATTCGATAGCGCGTGTAAAGGGAAGACGATACATACTAATATTATATGTATACGACGTTGTAGTATAGTACAACTGCGTTTCTCCCTAAGCCGGTTAGCTATAGCTAGCCGCTAGAGGCTGGATCTGCTATATGCCGTATATCGCACTTTGTCGCATAACATTGACACCTGTATTACTATATAGAGCGTGCAATTCTAAGCATCTTTAATATAGCGACAATTATTAGAAAGTGTAGTTGTACTAAAGTATTAAACAAGTAGTAAAGCCCTTCCAACTAGGCTAAAATAGTTAATTGTCGCTTTGTAGTATTTTCCTATAAAACATACATTATCTAAAAGAGCGGCCAATTCTAAGTATAAATAATAGTAACACCGGAAGTGTCCGGTGTAGTAGTGTTAAGATATTGCGAATACGCTAAAGCTACTTAAACAGCTTAAAGCCGGCTTCTTAGTATATATACCTATCCTATACAGACTAGTCGCTTACAACGCTAACGCTATTAAATACCTCTATATATAACAGGAGTACAATTCTGAGTCGGCGCTATCTATCTATGCCGGTTTGAAGTATATATCGTACTACGTTGTTATACTACTTATCGATATCAATTACGCCTCGGACGAAGCTAATCTAGCTCGCGCTAGAAGGCAGCGACTAAGTTCTTCTTAGGACTATTAATAATATACTAATAGATACTATCGCGGTCGATATTAGAGGTACTGTATTCGAAGGTGATTGTATTAGTGTTTATAGTCGCGAGACTCGGAGTAGAAGCTCGCTTAAAGATAGCTAGTCTAGAGGTTGAAAAGGTAGATATCGAGTCGATCTTAAAGACAGGCTACTATCGCGTTATATGTATACGTATATATTGTTTGTGTATATATATATTCGACTAAGGAAGGTTCTAGGTCCGACTAAAATTAAAGAAGCGGTACGGGTATTAATATACGGCGAATACAGGTTCCGTGTCCGTACGCTTTTATATACAACGCGACGCGTTCAAAACGCTGTACCTAACACCGCCCTTCTATCTCTATTTCTATACCTCGAAGTCTTCTACACTATAGCCGAAGTTGATCTCCTATTCCTCGTTCTGCTATATAAGACTAACCGACTCGATACTGCGAACACCGCCGCTATAGACATAGCTATAGGCGGCACTAGCGATGCTAGCCTACTTAACAATATATCGAGCGATATAGGCGGCGCCCTTCCGAATTAGTATAAGCAAGAGATTAGCAACCGTAAGACCGAGCTCCGCCGCTAGCAGCGCGCTCGTTAGAAGGTACGAGAACAAGAGATTAAGTAGGCAGTACGTACTCGTAATCGCCTTCGTCTACGCAATATACTACCTATTTAGCGCTTAGATCCGATCGAGCTCGACGACGACGACGACAGTAAGACTAATAAGGACAAGTACGATTTAGAGGCCTAAGAGTAGGATAATAAGCTTAGTAAGGATAAGCTTAAGGCCGAGCAGAATACTAGTTTCTCGGCCGATTACGACCTAGCGGCGGATAGCGATAACTAGGACGATATCGAGTCGGACGAGGAAGAAGAAGAGCCGCAGCGACTAGGTTATAGCAAGCATAGTAAGACTCGCGGTAGGAAGAAAGGTCCGAATTCGCATAAGAAGTAGCGTAAGGCTCGCCGCAATGATTAAGAGAAGTTCAAGATTATTATATAGATGCTACGCGACGAATACACATTAATAGCTAAGCTTGTTTCGATGTATGTCGGTGTCGTAGGCATACGAGATTATCGGCTAAAGGTCACTAAGTTAATTAAGAAGGGCCTGCTATAAGAAGGTCTTATAAGCACTAAGGTCCTACGTATAGAGCTGAAGCGACTTGTTAGTAAGAAGTTCTTTAATAAGTACAATCTAGAGAATATGTCCGAAGAACTAGAAGCCTAGGAGGACGTTACTCTTCTCGAAGAAATGGACTAGCTTATTAAAGACACTACACCAACTTAGTATCGGCTTCTGCGGTCTCTTCTACCTAACTAGGTATATAGCATAAAGAAGATCAAGGCCGGTCTCGATATAGAGGCAGAGGTAGAGGCGGGTCGTTCTAGTACGGCTAGCGATAGAGATAATAATGCTTAGGCTTAGGAGGACATTATTAGCGACAAGCATAACCGGATCTAGAAGCGTATTATAACTATAACCTACATCGCTACCCGGTCTATTGCTCTTAAGAAGTCAGCCTAGTTTAGCAAGAAGTTCGGCTTGTACCTCTATACTAGCAGTGTTAAGGCTCGTGTCGTTAATATACTAAGCGTAATAGGTATCTGTCTATCTTTCCGTACGCTATAGCGTCTATCGCGGAAGACAGCTCGGGCTTATCGTATATACATCGTTAAGAAGGTTAAGACTAATCGCCGCTAGGTGCTTGTATACGATAATTACTACAACCGAACGAATGTTCGTAGCACTCAGACCTATAGAAGCAATACTAAGTAGGAGAATTAGACGACCTCTTATCTCGTATTCTATCTAGAGATCCCCGAAGGTAGTCTAACTCGGGATATGCTAGACTATTCTAAGAAGCTAAACGCACGACAGATTATTCGCGATGTATCTAATAATCTATATAAGAAGTCTACCTCTTGCTATCTTATCGACTAGGCACTTAGTAAGGTGTTTCCGAGTATCTAGGAGTGCTTTAAGGAGTTTAACTTCCCCGACGCAGAGCAGGCTAAGAAGAAAAAGAAGAAGAAGACACAGACACCTTAGCGTACGGGTATAAGACGCAGCAGCCGGCAAACTCCTCGATAGGAGCCGGAGCCGGAGCCGGAGCTAGAGCTAGAGCTAGAGCCACTAGAGGAGAAGGAGACTAAGCGATTGCTTAAGCTCGTTCGTAGAGGCAGTCTATAATAGCGCTTCCTATAGCGGGCGATTAATATTAAGACTAAAGGCAAGATAGAAATCGTTATGCTACCGGTATCTAGATACGATAAAGCCTCGATCTAGGAGATATATAAAGTCTATAACGATATCTTCTAAGAGTTCCTTAAGCTAGACCCGGACAACGAGGAATATTAGAAACAGGCGCTCATCCTCGTTATTAGTAATTAGATAACAGTAGCACGCAATCGGAGTGTTAAGTAAGAAAGCATTAAGAGCACCCGCGCGTATAACCGGAAGGAGTTTATCGTCGTTATACCGGCTATATTCTACACTAAAATGAACATTAGATATACACTACTTTATACCTATTTCGACAAGAATAGTAAGGGTAAGCCTCTTGCTTACAATATCTAGAAAGATAGACACAACCTAGGCATCCCGCGTGTAACTAACAAGCTACAGCACTACATCAACCGGCAGGTAATGACTAGCGCCTACGACACTCGCATCGTTACGGTATTTATCGCCAAACTCCGCGCGCGTAGCTAGATCGACCGTACTAGCAAGCTAACTAATCTAGTCGTGTTGGCATATATAGCTAGCAAGAACTCTAACGCTACGGCTACTTCGGAAGCACCTAGAAATGCTAAAGGTGCTAAAGGTGCTAAAGGTGCTAAAGGTGCTAAAGGTACTAAAGGTGCTAAAGACTAGGCTAGCAAACCTGCCGATCTACTCGCTAGTAGTCGCAAGGATGTCGTTAAGGCTGTTATCGTGCATATAGAGCTAATCGAATATATTAAGATTGTCGAGTCCATTTATAAGTCCTTATTTACTAAGGCAGCCTAGGATAGCGATAAGGACGAGGAGGGTAATATTAAAGACCTAGCCTTCACTACTATAGCGCGTCTTGTCTAGGAGATCGAGCTAACCTTAATCGTTTATAAGGCTATTCGTAAGATAGATGTCGGGTAGCTGAATCGCATAATTAGTCATCTCGTCGTGTTCTTCCTCGGTGCTAAGTAATAGAACTATAGTCGAGAGATAGTCTACCTCTACTAGCTCTTACATAGTAAGGCAGCGAAGGAGCTACTTATTAAGGCAGTGCTAGCTTCGATAGTCGTCGATCTAGGCAATAGTCGGGGTGTTAGTGTAGATGAGATATAGGAACTACTTAATAAGGAGCTTGCCCTCGATATTAAGGCCTATAGTAACTCAACCTATAACCTAGCTACAACTATAGAGCTCGTGTCCTAGAACCGCACCGCCGCATATACGGTTAAGGAGATGTTCGAGGCTATAGGCCCGGAAATTACGACCTACTATACCTAGAAGAAGCTCGCGAACTCTATCTTTACGTACGTATCTAAGTTAGTCGACTAAGGCCTAGCTAAGCCTAGATTGCCGGTCGAAGGTCGTAAGTTTAGTCTCTCCGATAACATCCTTACTATAGGCAAAGACCTTATTCTCGGTGCTGTTAACTAAATAAATGAGTGTTACCAGCTGTTAACTATTAGAATTACTCGGACAGGCGAGGATAACGACGCGATTAATAGCCTAAACAATATCGATAGAGCAGATATACGAGAGCGGATCAACGGCGGAGCTAATCGTAGCGATAGATTCCTAGTAGCGGCGGCTAATATTGTCGGTCCTACATTCTAGCTATACGTTAATGCCGAAGGATATTATTATATCGATCGCGATATAGAGGTAATAGATTTGACTAGTAGCC